TTAACGATGACTGCGTAGAATATGGTTGATACACGACTTATTTCAACTCATCACACCATCAAATAGAAATCTTTCAATCACCTTCGCCAACTCTTTAGGATTGTCATGATGCAACATATGCCCCACCTCGGGCATCACATAACGCGTTAATTGTTTAACGCCTGCCAAGCGCGTTTCGTAAGCGATCTCATCAGTTTGCAACAACCAGGCTCTCAAATCAGAATCCCCTCCTTCAACTAGCAACATCGGGCAATCTACTTGGCTCCATATCACGCGTGTTTCTTCAGTACGATATGCAATGGGGTGGGTCATTTTGTGTGCTGGATCGGCACGAAGGTGCCACTGACCATCTGGACTTTCTGCCGCCCAATAACCAGCCAAATACAAAGCATACTCTGCTCGTAGTCGGGGATTGTTCTTTTGCAAGCGTTCTGAAACAGCCTCTTGACTAGGGTAGGGTTTAAATTGTGGAGGTTTTTTGACCTCATCTAGCCACTGTTGCATTTTTGCAGGCGCTTTAGCCGCTGGCTCATCCCGAAAGCCCAAGCCATCCAAATTAATCAAAGCTTTAATGCGATTAGGCCTCACACCTGCATAAAGCGTTGCTAACACTCCCCCCATGCTATGCCCCATTAATACTACAGGTTGATCAGGAGACAACAAATCCAAAAGTGCTTCTAAATCAGCAATATACTCCATAAACCAATACGAAAATATCCCAGGCGCATTTGTTGACCAGTCAGTTCCACCATAGCCACGCCAGTTAGGCGCAACGATACGCAGATTTTTCGGCAAATAATCAACTAAAAATTGAAAGGATTGCGCCACATCCATCCATCCATGCAAAGCAACGACTAAAGGCCCTTTCGGATCACCCCACGCACAAAGTTCATATCGTAAACCAGCAATATGCGTATATTGGATACGAGCTGGAACTTGTGGTTGATAAGGATTAGGCATACATTTTCCTACCATGGTTTAATAAACTAAAACATCATATATTCAATAAGGTATAACCACCACCTTACCGCAACTCAACACGCTCCAGTTTACCTCGCACCAGCCGATATATCGTATCGCAACGTGCAGCAATTTCTCGATCATGCGTCACTAACACCAAACTCATGCCACGCTCACGCGTCATCGTAAACATCAACTCCATCACCTTTTCGGCGTTAGCGGAATCAAGGTTCCCAGTAGGCTCATCGGCCAAAATGCAGGCTGGATCGGCCACTAAGCTTCTTGCAATCGCCACTCGTTGACGCTCTCCACCTGAAAGACTAGCAGGAGTATGATTAAGCCTTGATAACAAACCTACTTTTTCCAAGGCATCTCGAGCCAACGCCAAACCATCTTGTTGACTCACTCCACGCATCCACAGTGGCATAGCAACATTTTCCTGCGCGTTAAATTCTGGTAATAAATGATGAAATTGATAAATAAAACCAATTTTTTCATTGCGTAAGCGATCACGGTGTTGACCACTATTGTGTGCCAAATCTACGCCTGTAATCATGATTTCACCTTGATCTGGCTCATCCAAACCACCCAAAATATGCATAAATGTGCTTTTCCCAGAACCAGAAGCGCCAATAATGGCCACAAGTTCACCAGGATGGACTTGCAGAGAAACTCGATCGAGAATCGTGAGCGTTTCGCCTGCTAAATTTACAAAACTCTTAGAAATATCGATCGCCGACAGGGTCAACAACTTCTTATTCTCTTGGCTCATCATAGGATTATTCATATCGCAACGCCTCAGCTGGATTAATTTGCGCAGCGCGGCGACTTGGAACAATTGCAGCAATCATCGCAAACACGAGTGCTACAACCACAATAATGCTCACATCATCAAAACGAAGCTCTGATGGCATTTCACTAATGAAATAAATCTGTTGTGGCAAAAAGGAAATTCCAAAAATCATTTCAACAAACTTAACAATACTACCGACATTGACAGCAATCAGGCAGCCAAAGAATAGGCCAAAACCAATTCCTAACAACCCAATCAAAAACCCTTGTGTCATAAAAATCTTCATAATACTCTGGCTACTGGCCCCCATTGAACGCATAATCGCAATATCGCCTTGCTTTTCTGTCACGGTCATGACTAAAGAGGAGACTAAATTAAACATCGCCACCGCAATAATCATCAATAAAATCAAAAACATCATTCTTTTTTCGGTTTTTACCGCTGCAAACCATGTTCGATTCTGGACTGACCAATCTTGTACCCAATAGTTTGGCCCTAAAGTTTGCATCGTTTGATTAGCCAATTGTGGTGCATCAATCATCTTATCAAACTTTAATCGAACGCCACTTGGCGCGTTAATCCGTAACATTTTATTAAGGTCGTCAATTGCCATAA